AATTTTCACAAACATACATAGATAGTAAGTGATAGAGACATTAGAAAAATTCTATTTGCTTACTTTCAAGCCCAAGTTCTTTTAATGACTGTATCATACACTTCCTTCTTCCTTTTTTTCTTTCCTTCCTTTATTCCATCTTTCTAAAATATTTACTGAAGGTACACTAAGGGAAATTATTATGATAATCATGGGGGACTCCAGCTTCCACTTTAATATTTACCCAGAGATTTCTTTTTATTTTTCCATCCATTTATATTACACAAGTGTCTACTATATGCAAGGTAACAATACCAACCAAATTGCATTCATGCTTTGCTTTTATATTAGCTTGGTATTATTGTGAGCAAATATCAGCCTAATTAATGCATAATGTTATGCATTCCTACCATGGTCTTTTCATTTTCATGAAAATTTTGGAAAGAGATTTTACCTAGGAAATACAATGTGAATGTTTATGCACACATTCTGTGAGCACAGATGGCAATGGGAGAAGTACTCACTTTATTCCAGAAGTCGGTAGCCTGTGGCTCACAAACAATATTCACCAAGTTGTGGAACAGTTGCCACCCCTCTCCTGTGTCTCCTAGATATATTTAAGAACTGCTCCCATGTGTGAGAATCAAAATCAGGGCTAAGTTTTCCTTCTGTCTTGTTTACAATGATTGTTGCATTACATGTACGCATGAAATCTCATTGAAAGTTAGGAGAAAACCAAAGATCAGCTCTTCTATATTTCTTGCTCTGTTAAGTTTAGAAACCACTGAGGTTTTATCCAGTTGTCCCCAAAGTGCTCTCTCCCAGCATCACTGGGCCTAATAATTCTGCTAAAACGAGCTATCCAATAAACTCCAACCCATCATCGGGATTCTCTGGACCAGAAGGAATCTCTACTTTACTGGAGTCAAGGTTTTCCCCACACTTGGGGTTAGCCCAAGACTTCTTTCACTGCAACCTGCTTTGTTCTGATGGCAGCACCAGCATAGTTTGCAAATTTTACTGCTCAACAAGTATCCAGTAGGTACTGAAATGATCTTTCATTCATTTAGCTCCTTGATATGGTTTAGATGAAGAAAGAAAGCTCTACATTCACACTTAATTCATAAAAGGGGTGAAAAGTTTTTTTTACCAATAATACTTCCCAACATATAATGCCATATGCTATATCTTCTGAATTTGGGGTGCTTTGTTGAATGTACTGGTCACAGAACAAAAACCTGAATATTAAATCATGCGTTTAAGCTACAGATAATAGGATATGTACTAAATGATGATTTTTGATAACACATTAAAAATTAAGATTCTATCATTTGGCAACCTTTTATCATAAGCCATCAAACCTTTCTAATTTTTATTTGTTGTGTGTGACCTCCATAGAACTTCATCCATTCTCCAGGCATGTGAAACAGCAGTTGTATATCATTTCACTAGGCAGCTCTGCTTAGTTTTATATTAAAAATATGTCCTAAAAATGCAATTTAAAGTTCCTCTAAATATGTGTATTTAAAGCAGATTATTCTGACAAGGATACCTTTTATTATGTCAATCTTGCTAATTAATTTTGAGTTGCACATTCTTCCATTCAGCCAACTTATAGTGATGCCTACTGTGCACTAGGTACTGGACTTGACTCTGGGCATGCAATAATGGCCAGACATCTCCGTTTCCTTTTTAGATCTTATATTTTAATTGGAGGAAAATGTACATACAAATAAATAGACAAACAAGTAAATAAGTTGAAAATTGTGATAGCAGTGAAGAACACAATCAGGGTGCTATTTAGAGAAAACGACTAGGGTAGGACATATAAAATATGGAAATTAGGAAAGAGTTTGTGGCTGAGGTAATATTTTAGCTAAGATAAGAAGTATGGGAAATAGGTAGTCAAAGAACTGATGGAATTTTATTGTAAGTATAGGAAAAACACGTGTTGAGGCTTTGGTGTGTGGAAAAGTTTGTGATACATTTTCTAGGAAATGGAAGGATTCCAGTATCACTAGTATTTATTGACAAAAGGAGAGAATCATGTAGGGTCTTAGAGGCCCTGCTGAAAGATTTTGTTCATGTGCACAGTTCAGTGAGAAATTATTGAATGATTTAAACAGGCAAATAAAACAAAACAATTAGTTTTTTTTTAAGACCACTGTGATTTCTCAGTACAAATTAAATTATGGGAGCACAACCATGAAAGCATCAAGATAAGAGTCTAATGCAATAATCAGATAGGACATATTAGAGATAAATATTCTGGGAATTATTTTACAGGTAACACCACCATTATTTGTTATTGGATTAAATATAAATCATGAAAAAAAGGAGAAATCAATGATGAATTCTAGGGTTTGGGATTTTGTTGTTGTTATATTTGAATTGAATACCTGGGGTAAATGGTGGCACCATTCATTGATGATAAAAAATAAGACTGAAAAAAAAAAAGATCTGCATGACAATCATCCCACTTTGGACATGTTGATTTTGATATCTGTGACATGTGCAAAAGGAGGTGTCATAATAGATGTTTGGGTACCCAGATCTGTATCCAAAAGGACAGGCCTGGATTAAGATGAGACTGTAGGTTGTCAGTATTCAGAATATGTAAAGTAATAAGAAGATATGAGGTCACCTAGAGAATTAATAAAATGGATGAAGGTCAACATGACAATGTAAATACTGTGAAGTCAGAGAAGGAAAAGCAAAGCAATACAAGAAAGTGTGTACTAAGTTCATTAAAGGAGTTTGTGAGTTTCACTATGGCAATTTGGGGGAAACTGCAGAAATAAATAGCACGTCAGTATGGGTAGAAAAATGAATGAAAATTGAAGAAGAGAGGCAACATATATCAATAAAATATAATTTATGTTAATTTGCAGTAAAGGGAAACAAAAAATGAGGATTTTTAGAAAGGAATGTGAACCAGGGTAAATGTTAGCCAGAATATGAACCAAAAGATGAATTGTTTGTTATGTTTTATAATTTTATGTTTTTTAATCTTTAAGACAGATTTTATGTGATGGTAAACATAACCTAGTAGTTAGTAAATGATGGATGTTTTAGAAGAAAATCAAAAGGAGAACCAAACCAGTAAAGTCTTTAAGGAAGAAGGAAGGGATTTGATATAGACTGACATACTGATATGTGTTTGATAGGAGAAGGCTCAACTTCCTCCATAGGAAGGGAGAATGTGAAAATGGGTAATGACAAAAATGTTTACAGATTTCATTCTATAAAAATAAATAAGTTGTTTATCAATGAGTCATCTTTCAAGAGAAATAGTGAGTTCTGTTTTTCTCTTTTATTACTACATTTCAGTGTTTGGCTAAAACCTTTTCTCTGTTAGCATTGTACTATAAGCAATTAGGAAATGAGAATCAACCGTACATGTAAGGCACAAGCCATTGTTGATTAGTATAACATAATTACTATTTAGCATCTTTCATTTTCTGGTAAAGTATCTCTTTCACTCAAGCCCAATAACATACCTCTTCAGGATGAGTATATTTGAGAGATCAGTAAGAGAAAATTTTCTTTCAAAACAAGTAACTCCCCTTAAAACAAGAGCAATGTTAATTACAATATAAATTGTCATTTTAATTATATGTAGCAAGTATGTATTTACACAAAACACATGCTATTAGTATTATCTATTACTAAGTAATGTGGTTTTATGAAGATAAATGTTTTTTAAAAGATTTATTTTTATTTACATACTACACAAAGAATTGGGTGTAGGTAAGAGGTCTAGGGGTGAGAAGATTCACCAGAGACAGTGGGGAGCAGAACAGGTGGATCTACTGAAATACACTGCTGAGGGATGTTGTGCGCAAGACAGGAGAGGTCTGCTGTGCCATGTGGGTTAGCTCCTGGGCTGGGGATCTAACTCATGCTGCAGTGGTTGCCCATAGCTTGATAGTGCTAAGACCTAGCAATTTGCGCCATCAGGGAGGCCCCAAAATAAATGTTTTATGTGTAATGTACTTAATACCATACCAAAAAAAATACATGATACATATCTTCCAAGAGTTTATAGTTTTAAAGGAGAGATAGTGAAGTAAACAAATGCTTAAATACAGTCTAATCAGCTCTTCATAAAATGTTTCAAGTACAAAAAAAAAAAAAAAACACAACACAGGATCTCCCTGGTGGTGCAAGTGGTGAAGGCATAAACCATGAGGCTATCCACAGCCACTGCAGCATGCGTTCAGCCCCAGCTGGCCAGGGAGCTACCCACATGGCACAGGAGACCTCCTCCTGACTCGTCCACTGCTCGCCTCAGCAGTGTATTTCAGTCAGTCCACCTGTTCTGTTCCCCACTCTGTCTCTGTTGAATCCTCTCACCACCACCCCCACACCTCTGGCCTGTACCCCAGTTCTTATATGCATAAATAAATAAATTTTCAAAAAAAAAACAACACAATACTAAATCTCCCCACAGAGCTTCCTAGAACTAGTGATCTTGGAGATGGGATTTGAAGGATGCACAGACAATGAGCAGATACAAAGGAGACCTAGCACATTTCAAGAATAATAATAACATCCCAAGGCCTATGTTACAGGAAACGTAAACATCTGGGAATCAATAGACATTTAAAATTCCACAGGAGTGTACTAAATAATAGATTGGTTTTTCCCCAAAGCAAATTGAGTGACTGACCGTGGTTTCTAATATATACAGATTTCTAATATATTCATTCATTCATAGTAAAATTTGGATTCCAAATATCTATTAAATAGCAATTAAGTTAACCTAATTAGTTATTCTAATAAATACACATGAAAATAATTATCTCTTACTTCCATGTTCCCAATGCTATAATATTGACATATATCGAGATTTCCAAATTATTATCCTTTGCCAAACGTAAGCACACCTGTTCTGTTTCATTCAGATGTTTGCCTGAACCATGTAAGATCTGAGGATTTGACCTTAGCCTCAGTTGTTTCTCATACAATATGCTGCATTATCTACAATGATGGTTACACCAGGTCACTCTTTTCCCCAGATTTGGCAATGTGGAGGCTCCTTGGAAATTGTGACTTGCTCCCATGTCGGTCATGTTTTTCGAAAGGCAACACCGTACACTTTCCCTGGTGGCACCGGTCATGTCATCAACAAGAACAATAGGAGACTGGCAGAAGTTTGGATGGATGAATTTAAAGATTTCTTCTATATCATATCCCCAGGTAAAAAATTCTGATATTTTTCTTCTTCTGCAGAGAAAAAAAAAATTAAAGAAGGTGGTGAATAGGTGTTTCATTATTACTGCCATTTTGCTAACAAGTAAAATGTTTATTACCTAAACATTCCAGAAAACTATGTTTGAGAAGGTTGTACCTAAAATAGAAAGATTGACCTAAAATGGAAAGATTGCTTATTTTATATGCCTATAAGTATTCTTTCTTTGATTCATTATTGTCACAAGTATAGACTAGATAAATGGAGAAATTGTACACAAAGACCTAAATTCAATATTATGTTATCATTTATCAGCTCAATTTAAGAATTTTTTTAAATGTTTAAAAAGATATTTTCTACCTCCTTATTTTCTTGATTTGGTGACTAGGAAAAGGATAGATGTTTTATACAGAAACAAGGTGAGAATTATACAAATACTCAAAATTGTATTTTAAAAATATTTAGTGACAGCAAATTGCTCATCAATAGATATTTTAAAAGCATAATATGGGACAATAAAAAGGTATTTTAGCAATTAGGGGAATATTTATAGAAAGAGAATTAAATGTACGTGGTTACTGGGGTTTGAGATTATGAGTATATCCACTTTTCCTTATATTTTTCTATATTTGCCAATTTTTCTTAGTAAAAAAAATTCTTAGTAAAAATATTTTAACTATTTTAAAAGAATTTAAGAAAAAAATAAATTTTATTAAATAATACAAAATTTTAAAGGTCATTTAAAAATTCATTTCAAGAGAAATAATGAAAATCCCATTACTCAGTGGCATGATTATGAGTGATTTAATTCTTTATCATTTTCTAAAATTTATCTACCAATTTTATATTTCCAAATAATATACTGGTGAGACAATTAAAGAAAAGAAAACATGACATTGGAAGATACAAACAAAAGGAAGGCAGCAGTTTGCTTTCAAAATCTCAAAGTCTAGACACACACACACACATACACACACAAAATAGGAATTCAATTCAATAATAAAATAACATCCAATGTTGTAATTTTGATAATTTATATGTAGACCTTTTTGCCATCTGGATCATTGTAAGATAGCACACAAAACAGCAACAAAAATTCATGCCTCTTTTATACAACAATCGATTACATTTCTTAGAAAAAAACAGTTTTGATTCTAGCTAACATGTTTTGACTTTTGAAGTGTTTATGAGACTATCATAAGTTTTTTTTTTTACATGAAAAAATGAACAGCATGAACTTTCTATTAAGATCAAGCATTACTCTATAGAGAAGAAAAATAAAGGCAATGCATGTGTTAATGTATGATTAGGAGAACTTTTTCACACATTTTCATGCCTCTTCAAGTCAAGAAGCTATTGCCAGGAACACTTTCATGCATAGATGTATTTATCTTTACAGCACAAACCCTGTCCAGATGTTCAGAGAGTTGAGTTCAGTAAGAGCATGTTAAATTCGCAGCAAGGCAATGACATTTATGTAACCTTTTCATTTTCTTTTGATGATACTTTGGGAATTCAGATCATTACTTGTAGAAATATATAAGCTCAAATAATAGAAGAAAGGAATGTGTGCCACTTAGATTCAGGAATATTCATAATTGAGAATAATTTCAATCATGTGTATTTTATTCACTTATGATGAATATTATTTACATAAAGTGATGTGTTAGTCTTTTGTATCATTTTCCATTGAATGAAAAAGGCAGATAATGGAACTGTTTCTCAAACTATTATGAAATGACAAGGTTTAGCATTTAAAGGGTAAAAAAAGAACACCTGCTATGTGGAACTAATGATTTTATGTTACTCAGCAGGGACTGTTTGTATATTTTGAAAGTGTAGCTTTTACATTACAATAAATACCATTTGGAAAGTTATTGTTCTTATAAAGTAGGCTCATTTAAATCCAGAAAGGTACTTTGCCAAGCAGAAAAAAGACATTTAGGGAATATACTGAAAATATCTTGGAACTTCCTAAGGGGTATTTATGCTTAAATATGTCTCAAAGACTGTCAGTGTTGCTGAGCATGGAACCTGCCTGCTATGTTGTGGGCTAAGAGTAAAAACCAAAGCCACAAAACATTAAATTGCTTCTCAGTGGAAAAGGAAGAAGGAAAGTAAGGCAGAAACTAGAATTGGATATCTATTAACAGTGGTAGCCCTGGGAAGATTTTAAAACTCCCAAAACCAGATAAAATGTGTTGTATTGAGAAGTAAGGAGTTTGTCATTTGTAGTGTGGAGCCTTTTGTGGAGTGAATAACTATTTTAGTTAATACGGATAATTTCTCTTTCTTTTAAAATCAAAACTGTGTGCTTTTTTGTTATCATCTAGAATTGTTGGGTTTCTATTTTTTATTTCCTTGGATAACAGGTAAATTTGAGAAGAGAAATGTTGGTGTGGCAGGAATTTCGAGGAATATAAGAATGTACTTTCACACTTAGAATTATATATTTTACTATAATATACATAAACACAAGTATTAGACTTGCAAGTATCTGTCAACTGGTCCAAGACATTTGATGTTTTATATCAGAGCATCTGTTACCGAATCTTACTCTAAGTGTATGCAGTTTTCAAAATGTGATATTTAAGTACATAGCGCTTATGAATTGAATTCTTACCACTTTGCTTCCTTCGAATATGTGCTGCAAAATAGTACCTACCTGCTTTATTGCTTGATTTTAGGGATGCCTCAATCCTATCTGTCTTGAACTAACAAGGTAGTCTGTCAAAAGTATATTTCTTGCAGTTTTGCTACCACACACAAGTCATTTTTACTACATACTGTATTGATTTAATTTTTATTTCTTGTTTCTATACCCAAAGTAGTTTAAACACTTATATTTCTAATGCTTAGAATCTTTGCTATCATTTTGTAGTCCTTGAAAAAATTATTTGTTGAACACTTTGAAGGAATGAATGAATTTTAAAAGAGAGCCATTTATGTTTCTTCCTTTCTACTGAATTTCCCATGGATGTCTGATCTACACCAGGGAATTTCTTCACAAAAGTTGCAGGAAATTAGAAGGCTTTGTTCCACTTCTGATCCAACCCCTAGTTAATGAATCACTGATCGAAAAAAAGTGAAGGGTACCTCTTTACGTATTTGGAATATCATTCCTCTGAGTTTGCCATCGTAAAAGAAGGATCCACTGACTTATTTGTGTGCTTGGGGTTTTATGATTACAGTACGATAATAATATAATCTTATCTTCAAACTAATAGAAAAGTCTAATAAGCACAATCTAGGAATAAAATATTATTTTCCAATAAAACAGCATAATATAAGAGCCCACAAACTAAAAATATTTTATTTTTATAAAGTATTTTATTTTTGTCATGACCTCCATGAACTTAAAGTTAAAATGTGATTATGCAAATAACCACATATGTCAATTGCTTTTATTTGATTTTTTTTAAATATTTGTTATATTTGGCATCTGCTGACTAGTCATTGGCAATATTAATAGAGTTGGCAGTATTATATCAAGTCTACTAAATGGGTATGTGAAAGGGAAGTTAAAATAGTGTTGAAGAATACATTTTCAACATTTGTTTAGTTTGCTTTTTGGCTCTCTTTTTTAAGGATGCAAATACTATAGCATCATCGATTTTTAAAGCCCTGTAGACTCCTAAAGCCTGAGGCAGTTTTTGCTAGTAATTGGCCCATTCCATCTTAAGCCAATCTGATTGTCCTAACAAGTCTTTGGAAATGAAAGTATGTAAGCAGTCACCATTCTCCACAGAACACCCCATTATAAGTGGCAACTTATTTTTCTTATTGGTCACAGATAAAAAGCTTAACATTTTTAAATATGGTGTAGTTAGGACACTAACCATATATTGAAAATCTGGCTATTCTATAAATACTGTTTTTCTTTTTGGGGGGAGGTAGATTTCTAGCTGTGTATCAGTTGACATGGTGATTAGAACAGCTATCCTTATATAACTCCCTATTGTTCCTTTTCTTACTGGACAGCTTGTGCTCTTGTTTTAAACAAAACCAAGTTGAAAATAAAAATTAAAGACTCCCAAACATACCATTAAAGGTATTCTATGTAAATGGAAAAGCAGTTTATTTTCCTTTGTCAGTAATGTATTATTTTGATCTATATTTGAAGTAAACAGAAACCACACATTTAGGGAAGGATTCTTGAAATTATTTTAAAGCTTAACTCTGTATTTGTTGGGAAAGTTTTAACCTTTCAGAATTTTTTTAGAGCAACCATCTCATCAAGGGTAGCTTTTATTAGCAGCATCTTTGGATTATTATTAAATGTTAAGGCCTATATTCATTTATATCACATCTGTATCTATAAACACAATGCTTTTAACTGTGCTGATATTTTTAAGATATTTAATAATCAGTAGTTTGAATAACTGATTTATTTTATAAGTCATGAAAATGTGATATCATTAGCATCGGTTTTCATGTTTCCAGCAAAATGCACAGCACAGAGGATTTTTTGTTTTATATAATCCAATGATATCTGTTTGTGGTTGAGTTATCATTAATTCATCTCAAAGGACTACAGCACTTTTGAAAGTAAAGTATATTTGCACCTATGAATTTTGAATTTTTGCTATTTTATAAATGCTTTTTTAGCATCAGCAATCATGTTATCACTGAGTGACTATGACATCATGAGGAGTAAATTCTAAATCATTTAATATGCTATTTTGTTATAGTGCATAGTTTATTTATCAGCCTGTTGACTTGAAATACTAAATGTTGAAATAAGGGATGACATCTATGGTCTATATTGACAGTATACTAACAAATTAGTCCTTTTTTTTTTGCCACAATCAAAATACTTTTAAATTCTTAGTCCTTGAAGGCATTAGGTCAGTTTTTATTGTTGATGTTTGCATTGGTATTTTAGGAGTACATATTAGTGCTTTTATAATACTGATACTACCTTGCCCCTCTTTATTAGGCAAATATTTATTAAGTTCCTGATCTGCACTATACCAGGAGGGGCGATAGAAACAGATAAGATGTTCTC